GTTAGGAAAACATTCCTACAATCGGCAATCTTTTGGACTTGAGCCAACAAAATCTAAATGACTCTGCTTCAGTACTCTCGCAGTTTCAAAACATATATTGATATAATAAACTCTTTTGCAATTTCTTGAAATTCTTTTCTGCAAAAAACTTTTGCAAAATGAAGACCCATCAAACAAAGGTCGAAACGCATCTTTTTAGTGCCCTGGGGATTACGTGATGTTTTGCGTCCGCTTATGGCTTTACCGTAATGCGCTAAAATGCATCCCTAGCACCAATTAGCTAAATTCGTCGTGTATAATGGGCCAAACGAGGGGGGGGGGAGGAAGGAAGAATGATGGCAATGCAATTAAGTGGCATCGGTTCAACGTTGCATTGCTACGACATCAGGCTTCACTAAGCTAGTTTTTGGAGGACACCTAGAGACTTTATGATTTTATCATATATATTTTCTGGATTTTAAATAAGCGATTTAATGAAAGGTGCAATACCAGATTCTGTATAGTGTCAAATATTGAGCGAGACAGAAAGAATAAAAGTAAAATTCAAGATATTGTAAATAACTTCATTTCAAGATCTAAGAATGGTAAATCTACTTATAAATTTACGGTAAGTAGAGCACCAATGTCATTCATCAACTTAAAATTTCAAAATGAGAGACTCAATCTCAGGTTTTTCTATTTTATTTCTTAGATGACGAAGGCACCAAAAAATCAAAAAATACACATGTCTGGCATTTGAGCGCAAAATTGACAAACTTCCAAACTAGAAATTTAGTATAACAGAGAAATCCAAGCATCACCACGGATTACTTTTCCAGACATTGCTGTATTGTTTTCTCAGTGAGTAGTAAGATTTTTGACAATTTTATATAAGCTACCTAAAAAATAAAAGTTGTTTTTGAATCTGGTCGATGGCCCTCTCAAACAGACACAGTTTCAGTATCTCTACAACCATTGAGCTTATATTTTTGCTCCAAAAGAATTTTTGCTAAGAAAGAAAATTTTACTTCTCAAATAGCACCAAGACTAAATCTGAAAATGTTGCTATTTCACTAAAGGAAACGAGTCTCAAGGAGAAGAAGCTATTCGCTTCCATCGCAGCCCTGGCTACATTTTTAACTTGTGCCAAACTTTTTGGCAGCAGAAAATCCAGCTATAGTATTGCTTTGTTTTTTTTTCATCTTACATCTTGCGAAATATTCTTATCTCTTGTTAAGTTACTTAATAATGCTTACGCTTAGGCGTGCCGTCGCCTTGTCATGCTGCGCATTGTATGCGACCTCTTATTCATAATTTATCGCTATTTTGCCGCAGCGTCTATTAATTTGTGTCTTGGCTGAATTATTTAATGCTTCGACAGTAGCTTTCCAAGGCTATGGTGGCACGAATTCCTCGTAAATATTTATTTCTACTGCCTATAGTTCCTCGCTTTTTTGGTTTATAGCAGGACTAAATCTGATAATATTATTCCTGACTATAATTGTCCCGAACATGCGCGAGAGCATGTTTCAGCGACAGCTGACAGGTGGTGCGAATGGGTCGCGTTGAATCGCCATGCTTCGCTTCTTAATGTGTCATAATTTTTGCGACAGCGCACCATATTGCGGGAATGGGCAGGGAGGGGAAAGGGCTGAGTGTCCATCGATGCCATTACATAATTACGAAGAGACCTAGGCTCGGCTCTGGATGTGGATAGCTTTGCAGAGCTGCGCTCAGTCAATCCTGTGTGATTCGCTTGGTGTTTGTGGTCTAATTGATGGTTATCAGAAAAATCTAGCCAAAATCCTTCAAATTTTACTTATTTATCGGTATTTTGAATCTTTAGTGCTCATTCGATTAGAATGGGTCTCAAAAATCCTCAAAAAAGGCCTATTTAAGAAGTTCAACATAGAATAGCGACTGAATACATGTCAAGCTTTTCTACAACGCGAAGAGACGAAGAGAATTTTGCTCTAGCGTAAATTCCGAAAGCTCCAGTTCAAATCAATTTTTAAAATCTTGAATTACAGTTACATATCGGATCTGAGGTTTCCCAGTGATAACAGAATAGGGATGTGATAAAGCAGCAACTAATTGAGATGTCATGATTTTCTTATGCCCCTAAAAATCTCGCTAAAGCCCCAATAATTTTCTTGAAATCAAGACTGCATAGAAATGTCTGCCGACAAAGAATCAGAGCTTTTTCCATGACTTCAAATACAAGAAATTAGAAATTTCCCAAAACTAATCTAATGGTTTTAATAATCAGTCACTTTCTATTATTTTGGATATAGGACATGATTTAAAATGAGTTGCCTCAGATTTCAAAAATTGATTTTGGACGACAGAAAAACGCGAAAATTATACAGTTAGAAAGGGGCGAAATGGAACTTGAGAACTAAAGTAACCAGACAAGGTGCCTGTGACTAAGAAAATGCTATTTTCTGAAATATCTGACTGAAATCCACGAAAAGACTCCAAGATTTCGTTTCTCAGCTCGTCTTGGCCCCCTTATACGGTATCTTAAGCAGCTGGCCGCGATGTCAACTCGCTCGACGCTGATTGGTTGGTGGGCGGCGCCGCCGCGTCTACGACCGGAAACAGCTCCTCTTGGATCCGTGGATGCGAAGGCGAACAACAGTAGATAACAGCTTCTTACTTCATCATCTTCATCTTTCATCCTCTACATTTTCTCTTCTAGTCCCTTTCAAGCATGTTGGTAAATTTTGCGCTTAGAATAGCAAGCACTTCACGCAAAATAAAATATCTTGTGCAGACATTCCAGTATTGATTCCGACATGTGAAATATTCTCCTCTGTCCCCAAAGTAAGCGTTAAGCTACTTTCAAGGGATAGAAACCTATGCTAGAGGTAGAGAGCTTAAGGTTTCATCCGTTATCGGATAAACGTGAGGCTTCGCATCGACCTACTCCCACGAATTAGTGGCAGTTTGGAGCTAAAAATCCATTCTTGTACTATTAATTGAGAAAATATATATTCCATTCTTTGTCGATTGAGTCTGAGAAATTTCAGAGTGGAGTTTAGAAATTTTTAGAAATGCATGCTTTGGGTGAAGGTGGTTCGAACGAAGCGGCCGTGACGCAACAAGATATCGCTTCTAACGCTAATGGTAAGTGATTTTTTATTCAAAATTGGTATTTATAAGTTGAGACTTGATATATAAACACGGCCAAAGCTCTGTGCAGCTTCCACAGCCTCTGCTCAATCAAAAATGCAAGTCCCAGCTGATGATGCATGAAGCGATATGTTGGCAGCTATTCAGGTGCAAATTTGGCAGAATAAAGAGTGCTCTTTCGTGCAAAAATTTCAGGATTTTCGAGATTTCAGCTTGTAATTTTGCATGCGCTCCAACATATTATTACTGTAATTAGTCCATTACTGTAATCCTAGTGAAGATATCGGCGATAAGAACCCCTACTTAACGTCTTGACACCCCATCCACAGCCAGGTGGTTGGCACTTTCACCTTATCCAGGCTACCTGTTAACCTCAGCGCATCTGCCATATTTGCTCTCCGCTAGAATGACTGCCCCATTAGCAAAGCTTTGCTAGCACCGCAAAAGGTGTGAACTGGGCTTTATTTACTCTTCTCCACGGCAAAAGCCGGGATAGGCATGCGCCCCTTTCTAGGAAAAATATCCAGCAGAATCCTCTTCCCCTACTCATCCTATGGATCTCGATCCTGTTCAATAGTAGCGCCGTGCGCGGCATCTCTAAATTATTCTAACAAACATCCATCATTTCAGAGAGTTGCGTGCTGTGTGTATGCTCACGATGTGACATGCCAATCCGTGAAAGGTTTGTAAATCGAGTTCTTGAACGGTGAGTATAGTAGATTTCTTCGGTCATCGTTTGAACAAGGAAAGAAGAGCTCAAGAAAAAGCTTTGCAACCGTGTTCCTTCGTGTTATGCTTCGAAAGCATATGATTTCTCCTTGCTAGTTCCATAAATAATGGAGTGAAGATGTCATTGTATGAAAATACGATACAGTTTTACCCGAATCGATTTACGAAGATCATTTGTTTAAACGTCCTCCAGTATCTATTTCAATAAATTCACTCTCATTTTAACAATAGCATTGCTTTATAAAACTAGTTATGATATTCTCTACTTGCTTGATCTCTGTTATTCATCTGAAATGTGTTTACTGGTAGTTTTGCAGCCTTTATCATACTTTTGCTTCTGAAAAAACCCATTTACTCATATGTATACCCATCTCTTCCTCATATTATACCTTCCTAACTTCTCTCGTTTCCCTTCCCTTCAAAATCTACTTCTTTTCCTCAGGAGCCTCCAATAAACTTGGAAGTAACAAGCTCAGCCCAGTTTTCACAAAAGCATAGTCTCAAGCTACTGATTTTGGTTTTATTCTCTCTAACTGCATTTCTTTGAGTTACCTATAGGCTTGCCTAAATTATCTTTGAATTCTGAATCTTTATCATACTTTTGCCTTCGAAAAAATCCATCTTTTACTTATGATAATAAGTTTTTATAATTTCTATAGTTTTCTAAGCTCAACATTCTGTTCCATTCTCGCTTTCTACATTCTCTTACGAGGATCGATCCCTATGACATCCTTCAATAAGATTGAAGTCCAAAAATAAGCCTATGCTAAATTAATTCTAACATTATTTCGTACTGCTATCTTGATTTTCACTACTTGCAGATCCTACCATACCGAATGTTTACGATGCTATGTATGCAATGAAGCTTTGACGTCGACGTGCTTCATGAAAGAAGATTCATTGTTTTGTAAAGATCATTTCTACAAGTAAGTTACAACTATGTTGGACACTAGGAAAAGTTTCTAGATCAAAACAGTAGTTTTGAAAAATCAGCCACCTATTCTTATACAAGACGTGGAGTTACATTCCCCTACCTGTTATTACATAACTTTTACCGTATGAAACTAGAAAAATGCTGTATCAAAGCTGCTGACCTGGGAAAGTTTATGCTTTCGCAGTGTAATGGCCAGCATGATATATGTTTTTTTCTAGCAAGGGCGAATAAATAACGAAGTTCAATTGAATAACCTATTCTATGAATTTTACAGAATAATTTAAAATTTGGAAAATTCTGTTGTGGATTTTTCGTCAGAATCGTGGTCTGCTGTATACTTTTGCTGAAATAAAATTCAATATAAGTACCGTGCCAAAAAATTGATCTGAGCTTTTCTATGATTACGCTCTACCAGCTCACAAGAAAACATATTGTAGATTTGTCGTCGCTGCGTATTTATCGTAACATCGATGTGACACGCTAACTTTCATTGAGAGTATTTTCAAAACAACCGTTGAAAAATTTTTGTTTTAACCGTAAGAGATAAAACGACCTCTATAAACTGGCCATTCCTTTTTTGCTAGAAACTGCTCTCTATCGTTGTCCAAGCCACATTTTGCTCGGGGGCCGAATCGATGAACCGACTTGTTGCAGACGTTTCGGCACGAAGTGTACACGATGTGGAGATGGCATCATACCGGATTCAGCCGTACGAAAAGCTTCAGGTTTGTTTTTCTACCATAGATGGGAGTAGAAGAATTTTCTAAATTTTTTTTGCAGGTCACGTCTACCATGTGGGATGTTTTCAATGTGTTGTCTGCAAACGTGAGATGAAAACAGGAGAAGAATTCTATTTGATTCCCGAAGATGGACGATTGGTCTGCAAGAGCGACTACGAGCTAGCCAGGGACAAACGTAAGCTTCTTTTTTGGAAGAAAATTTCACGATTGAGTATAAAAAGGAGGACGTTCAGTTATCAGAAAGGCTTCAAAAGAGCCATCCAAAAAACCGCTATGAACGCTCTGTTTCCTATGAGTAAAGCAAGAATGAGCTGAGAAAGTGCTTGTGAGCATTTCCTGTGGTACGATTGATTACCTAGAACTGTCCAAACTATTCTCATCCAAAACCAATTTTTATTCACACCTCTTTGCAGTCGTATCCCCTTATCTTTTGCTGTTTTACCTCCCAGACTTCCTTCTTTCCTTACTTTGTGAACACAACAATCTGATGATCGTGATAATTCAGTAAGATAATCATATAAGGCAAGTTGCCACGGGAAGAGAAATGTAAGAGTGGTTGCGTTTTAAAATGCTGATTCGAAATCTGTTCCTGACATTCTCCAAACTACTCATAAATAAAAGCAAACATTCTTTTTTACTCAAAATAATATATTCACCAAAATTACACATGGAATTTTGCTTCGTTTCGTTTTTCCTTCAAGACGGAGTGTATCTAATAATTCGTAAGGCTTCTAACAATAAGAAGTTTCCAGTAACGAAACTTGTTGAAGGGTAGGGAGAATATCAAGGGAGAGAATATTTTGAAAAAAACCATCGACAATCTTCTCATAATTGTGCAGATTTCTCAGGAAACAATCAAAATAATTTTTTTTCATAGAAAAGAAGGAAGTATGACAAAACTTCAGTGAATTCCTATCTATGTCACATCCATAATATCCGGAAATGTTGTCAATACTCGAGATGCCTTTATGGTTTCGTTTTCTCACCGCTTCTCAGCTTGACTACCTTATGCAATTAAGTACCTTTAGGTCTATCAGTAGATTCAGAAAATAAAATGCTTAAATCGATAATTTTCTAATTTTCAACTACGAAAGTTTCAAGAGCAAATATTCATAGTTGTTTGAGACAGTCACAATTTATAATTACAGCAGATAATCAGTTAACTGCTTGTGGACTTTTGACGAGAAATTCAAAAAATCATAGGAAAATACATCTCAATGTGGTTACTAAACATGCCCAATGGAGGGAAGATTGCTGGTTTCGTAATCCTCACATTCCAATCGGTTTTCTCTGAAAGCCGCATAAAAAAATGTTTTTTCTCGGTATGATTACTTGTAGCTTCTGTTCATCTACTCTCATTTAAATTCGGACTTCGCTCTTCCGTTCTTTCCCCCCCCCCCCCTCCCCTCTGTACCTGAACAATCTAAGAGCTGGCTTCATCGCCGATATGATTGTCGAGTGTTTGCCATGCAATTGCCATTTGCACCTGCTCCTAGTGCCATTGCCATACTCCTATGGTTAGCAGCACTTTCTCACTTTCAGACCAGGTCTTTACTTCAGGTCTCTGATACTGAATCAAGTCAAAAAGCTCTTCTATTAAACTTTTTTTAAATTTTTTTTACTCAAAAAATCAATAATCATCAAATTTTCGGACCGAAACTGATAATTTTTGGTTACTTTCTGGAAATTTCTTTACTAGAATGATTACGGAAATTGTAATTTCAATGAAATCGTACACAAGCAAGTATTATGCACAGAATTGTTGGCATGTACGAGCAAATGTATGCTGTTGGCAACGAATCAGCTCCCGCCCACTCCCCGTACGCCGTTCTCGCGCGTATTTCCACCCCCCACACACGGTCGGGTCTCACTTGTCCATTCGATATCATTCCTTTCGTTGAGTAACCATAAGCTTTTATTTCCTCGCATCCATCATCGAAGACAGGAAATAATCACTATTGTACTTGCTTCGATTTTTATCTCCTTAATCTCATTAAAAAAAACATTCTTCATCTAAATTTAAGCCCTTCAATTGTTGATGTTTCAGCAATCGACTCAGAAATGGATGTAAGCAATAAGCGACCAAGGACAACAATATCAGCTAAAAGTCTCGACACTCTTAAACAGGTACGTTGTTTTCAGTTTTTTTTTGGGGGGGGGGAATCTTGAAAAGGGGAGCAAATGGCACAAAGTATTTGTCTCAGACTTCTCCTAATAGCATCAATAACAGAAATTATTGTATACTATATGCCAAATTTTATATGATTATTCTCCTGTGAAGTGGTCGAATCGTAAACTTATACACTTTATTTTAGCAAATCGTAATAAAGTAAACTCTATCGTACAGTACATGAATTTTGTGAGCCCAATAGGGAATAGAGTAAAGAAATTTTACTAGTAAAAAAGTTTCTACCAGTAAAAAAATATTTTTACCATAATGTGACATCAAAAGCGACGGAACAAGAACTTTTATTTGTGCTCACGCAATCTTAATTGAATTTTCTCGTAATGACACTTTTTTACATTCTTCACACATTTTCCGCTCAAAATTACTTTTCAGGCTTATACAGCAAGTAGCAAACCAGCTCGTCATGTTCGAGAACAGCTAGCAGCAGAGACCGGCTTGGACATGAGAGTTGTTCAAGTAAGAAAATTCTATCTTTATTTCTCCCCTTCGAAAGCTAAATTAGGATATCTAAATTCTATTCTCAAGAACCTTTGCTCAGATCTAAGACCATAACTCATAGTCATTCGTCTACAGCGCATAAATTCCCCTTTAGTCTGTGGTCCTGATAAGCATGTATAGGCGGAGTTGATTACCGACTTTTTGCTTGTTCACTATGGTAACGTAGCCTGATAATCCGATGTGGCCGCGGGAACCCCAGCATTACAGGCCAAACGCTTGCGAGATTTCGAAGAGTGAATTTCATGGTGAGCTTAGAGAAAAGTGCAGGAAAAGTCTTGGAAATTTACTGAAATTTCGGGCATGTCTCGCCTGATTACAGTCGCCAAGCGATATGGCGATGCTACAAATGTTTATAACTCATCGTGAACACATTCTAAATATGTAGAACTAGCTGGCTTACCCGGCTCCGCCGTATCCGGACCAAACTTGGCACATATACACTTCGGGCCCGGCGGGTGTCACAGTCCACTTTTCGTCATCGATCGATATCGATTTTATCGATTTTTATCGATTTTTTTGTAAAGTTTGACCTGCGGGGCTGGGAGTTTGCACAGGGGGGTAATCGAGCATGCTGATTACGAACACAATATTAGTTTTCAGAATCGTCCATTACTTTTATCTATTTTAACGATTTTTTTGTAAAGTTTGACCTGCGGGGCTGGGAGTTTGCACAGGGGGGTAGCATGCAGATTACGAATACAATATTAGTTTTCAAGATCGTCCATCACTTTTATCGATTTTATCGATTTTTTGAAAATTTGAGCTAGGGGGCTGGAATTTGACACAGGGGTGTAATCGAGCATGCTGATCACCCCCTTGGGGGTGATCAGCATGCTCGATTACCCCCCTGTGCCAACTCCCAGCCCCCTAGCTCAAACTTTGCAAAAAAATCGATAAAATCGATAAAAGTAATCGATAATCCTGAAAACCAATATTGTATTCGGAATCCCCATGCTCGATTACCCCCCTGTGCCAACTCCCAGCCCCGTAGCTCAAACTTTGCAAAAAAATCGATAAAATCGATAAAAGTAATCGATAATCTTGAAAACCAATATTGTATTCGGAATCCCCATGCTCGATTACCCCCCTGTGCCAACTCCCAGCCCCGTAGGTGAACTCAGCAAAGAAATCGATAAAAATCGATAAAATCGATATCGATCGATGACGAAAAGTAGCCTATGACACCCGCCGGGGCCCGAAGTGTATGTGTGCCAAGTTTGGTCCGGATCGGTTCAGAAATGGAATTTTCTATTCGGAACATACGTACATACATACAGACAGACAAACAGACATTCAGCTTTATATATAAGATATAGATCATTTCGTCATTATATAAAAGTGCTACAATTTTGCAAATGAAATCTACCAGCGATTGATTTAAAGACATCTGGCAATTTTCCAAACTGCGTGGCACATAAAATCGCGCAAGTTAACCAGCGCCTAAGAGTCCTCGTCTATTTTTTCACAAGGTAGTCTTGAAAACTGCTTCTAAGCCGTCAAATAAAAATGACAAGTATTTTATAGGTTTGGTTCCAAAACAGACGTGCAAAAGAAAAACGACTGAAGAAAGATGCTGGACGACGGTGGGGACAGAATGGAAATATCAAAACTGACAGTGATAGCAACTCACCTTCAGGAAGTGTGACCGGTCAAAGTCCTGTCTATGGTTTGTCAAATTTCAAGATTTTTCCAATAATTCTATTCCAGATTGGCAAGTTTCATAGTAAAAAGGGTTCTTGTCCAAAAGTAATGATTCGAAATTAAAGGCAGTTCTAAATTAATTGTTTATGGGCCAAAAATAAGCTCAGAATCTTGCGCAGCTTCCGCATAAGCTTCAAAACTTAACATAGAGGAATGGGATGCTCAAAAGTATAGGATTAAAGTGCCAATATCGTAGCTTGGTAAGCTTACCCACTGAGATCTCCCCAGAGAAGCCGCGAATTTCTTCCCCTATTACGACAACGTTCCAAAACAAAACAAAAAAGATACGCTCATCTAATGCTCATTAGATATAGAAGTACGCAAAAAGGCCAACAACACATTCAAAATTAGCACTGAGTTAACGTTGCGTGTGAGGCTTCTCCCAAAGCACTTCTAGCATTTGATTATGCTTCAAGATTTAAACTCGGCAATTTTTCAACACTATGACCCAGCTCAGAAAATTTGAGTTTTTGATAATTGAGCGCTCCATTTCGTAATGGTAAAGCTTAGTCATCCATAGTCAGCTACAAATCTACAGCAATGGAACTCGACGACAATCGATTCTGCTGTTTAACAAATATTAATTTCGCACGCAGGAATTACATCAGTCAGTGCTAACTGCAGGTAATGTGAAATAGAATCCGAAAAATTGAAAACTCAGACCGAAATTCAGAACTCTAGAACGTCAAAATTCCACACATTATCTGCTCGAAAATAAGCGTAGACTTCTGAACATCCTCATCACTAGTGTAACATAAGCTTCATTAACAAGAACTTTTAAGCATTTTGTTGGCACAAGCAAGAACAGCTTTTCCAAAATTATCTATGCACTTGAAAATCTTGAGTAGAATAGTAAATCTATGGTACTTTTGTGATTTGGCCTGTACGTCGACATTGACTTTGAAAATTTCAGAAAACAGTCTTTCAAAAATAGACCACAATCTCACAAACATATTTTCTTTTCTCTATGTAGCCAGCGAACATTTCCTAGGATGCCACGGTGATGAATTCTAAGTTCAGAAATAAACAGCACGATTATCAAGTTGGCACAAAAGATTTGCAACTTGTCCCATAACTTTCCTGTTTTTGGATGTGGCGCTAATTTTTTGATATAATATGGATTGGGGAGTGAGCTACGAAACTGCGCAAATCGTTTCCTTGCTGGTAGCAAAGTGGCGAAATTTTGCTCATTTTCCGAAAGCTGGTCATGGAATTTCAGTGTGCCAAAAACAAAAATGAAGCCATTATCAGCCCGCAACAAGTGTACCAAGGAATAACCTATGTACAGTTTCGGTTCGATGCGTTTGATGCAGGCTGAGAACGACTCAGTTTTTATTTCTAGCCAGGTGAAATTTCTGATTTGAGCAGTTTCCGGAAAATGTTCGAACTTCTCCCACTTTGCCACCAGAACAAAACATTCAAGCAGATTTGTAGCTCAGTACCCAATCTGCATTATATTGAAAAATGGGAGAGCTATATCCAAAAAGAGAAACGTTATTGAGTTGCAAAACTTATGTGCCAACGTAATACATTTGTTAAGATTATTCTATTCACACGTACACTCCTTTTCGTTGAAATCCGTACCAAACTCAACTAATAATATAATAAAAGTTTGAACTAGCTATTAGTCTAATTAGCTTACTGAACCTCAAAACCGTAAACTCGGCTCGGACCCTAACTGGCCTTATTCAACTCCGGAACAGGTAGTAATCAAGAAACATGATAAATAGGTCGAAAGGAAAAGTTTGGAATGCCGAAAAGGCATCTGAGTGACGTGACTGAGACATTAGAACCGAAATGCGGACAGTTGGACGTAAATTAACGAAAAGTAAAACGTATGCGCAGTGGAAAGTACTTAAAAAATGCAGAGAAAATCTTGGATCTTCTCAAAAGCTCTGTGATCAGTAAGCGGTGATTAAGCAAAGCCCGTGCGCCAATTAACGAAGAATTTACTTATAAAGCACGTTATGAACTTTTATTGCATCGCTAGTCATGGTTTTGTCACCAAACTCTTGAGTAATCCACATGATTTCGCAAGCAAGAACATTATATAGCTTTCAAAAAAAGAAACCTCGAAAACTTCAAAATCAGTCGATGTTTAGGATACATGGATCAGTCCGATCCCGATCATCACTCTTCGGAGGTCACCTACCCAGGTACCTCACTTTGTAATTCTCCATTTAGACTCTCTCCAAATTTCCTTTTACAGTGTCCGACATGGAAAATTACGCTGGCTTACCTCGACCTGAGCTTGGACTAGCTCCAGCCGGTGCTCTACTTGGCATGGAGTCAATTCCAGTAAGTTCATTCCCCTTTAGTTCCATGAGTATCTCATTCAATCGTCCTAGATGGTTCCATCAGTTCCACAAGAACACCAATTCTACATGCCAGCTCCACAACCTGTTCAGCCGCACCTCAATAATGTCGCTCTTACCGGCTTAATGCATAACTATCTGATTTAAAAGCCTACTACTTCACGCTTACCATTATTTGGTGTCAAAACAGAAAAACTTCAAGCACATTTCCTCGCTTTGATCTCGTCTGACTACGGTTTTCTTGCGCGCTACCGTTGGTTACGGTAGTCTTGAATTTGTGCAACGAACCACTGGCTGAACATTTACTGTTCTTCCTCATCTTGTATTGCATTGCATTCATTTGATCTCTTGTATGTCATTCTCTTCCGTTGAATACCTTCAATTTTTTAACGATTCTATGAGCATCTCTGCTTTAGCCATACATTCCTGATTTCGTTTCGAGAACTGCGCTATTCGCCTGGAAAATTGTACCTGTTCAATTCCTGAAATTATTCGCATTCGGTCTGATCTATGTGTCAATCCACTCCATTTTCATACCTTAACCTAGTCCACAAACAGATTTTATGGTCCCTAGTCAGCTTTAGCCATATCCCGAGTTCTCACCTTTCGCCAAATATAATTCGTTTCACTTTTTAATGGCTTTTTAATGCTTTTGTGTCTAAGCTCTTGTAGCTGCATTTTCTTTGTTTTATTGTCGATTTTCATTTTCAATTATTTTGGCAAGCGATACCAACTACAAAAGTTCCTTACCCGTTGTTCAAGAATAAACATATTTATTCAATGTTTCAAAAACGATTGGAATGGAGCATTGAACATATCAACAACTTTTTTACTTTAAATCATTACATCGAGCTCCTTTCATAAGTATATGGCAACAAAGGCAAAATCTCCAAAAATACAGAAACATCAAGCGAAAAAACAAATACGTTCGCGCTCTCAAAGAGACATACACCTATATACTACTGTGAGAGCACCCTTTTCTAAAAAAAATGCAAACATCACTGCAAGCATCGAATTGAGCAAGTAAGCACATGAGGAAGCGTTTGGTTTCGATTGAGAACGAAACTTTGGGAAAAAACTAAAAAATGACGTTAGCAGAGGCGAACATCATCATCTGCTGAGCAACCTTTCGGGGGTGGTTAAGGATGAGAAGTAGACGAAGGGACGGGGACGAGTCGAAGCTGGAAGGGCTTGAAGCAAGAAGCAAGTGCTGTTTTTTGGCTCTATGCCAAAAATTTGTTAGTGAAAAAAATACTGCAGAAGGTTTAAACGGTTAGCGGTGTTTGGCAAACGAAGAAGCAAAAAAAGTAAAGCGCACAACGAAAGAGTTGTCTGATGTGTGATATTGCGTTGCGATTCGGATGCTCATGAATCGGCATACGGTAGATTCTCAACCAAAAGTTGAATATCGGCAGTGCGCTGAAAGTATAAAACTAGCCAGATAGAAACACTAGTATCAGTACAGATAGTTGCTGACAAAAGAGAGAAGAAAGACAGCAGCGATTTGGTTTTTTGGCGTAAAGAAAGCAATATTGCTTACACAGTTCATTTCTTGGAGTGTTCGTATGCAGTGGTCCCGAAACGAAATATCCAACTCTTTCAGAAAGATTTTCCGACTCAACTACAAGATCCAAACTTAAACCGAAGTAAAAAACTAGAACATCGAAGCATCGAAACATCGAAGTAGCCCGTGTCAGAAAAACGCGTGTGTCGGAGCTGTGTCAACGCCGTGCCTACTCTGTGCCAAATGCAACCGCCGTGCCGCATGCACACGCGTCCCCTATCAATTGATCGATGTGCTGACACGGCGCTGGCACGCGGGCAACTCTGAGCACAGCCTAAAAACCACTGCCCACGAATGTGGAGCTACAGAAATGAACTGTATAAGTCGTTTGTGAGGAGCTGGTAGTGCGAAAAACAGGTGCAAAGGAGGTGCTAATTGAAGGCGGCATTCAATTCGTATTTTCCCTTACGATTTCGAAAATTTTGTACAGGAATCAGGTACAATGCTTGTTGATTTTCAAATCAAAGCTTATAGGCGCCACTAGACACCTTGAACGGCGACACATCTACTGGAGGCGTCGGCCTTTTCTCTACATCTGGCGATAGTTGTTCGTCATTACTGTAACTCTGAAACATTTCCTGCACCAGAGACGATTGTACCGAAATCTTGTGTAATACTGTACTTACTTTGTATGGTAGGCTGCCATTTGGCCGTATTTCTGATGGGCTATTCCGACTTTCGACTGGTTTCTTATCTTCGATGTGACTTTGATGGCTGAACGTCGACTTCGGACGCTCCCATGGTTCCGGAGCATACTGGGATTGGTAGTAGTAACGATTCATTTGAGGATATCCCTCTTCTGGCTGAAATTTACCGATGTTCAAGACCCTTCATCTTTATAATTTGCTGACTTGTTGTTACAAATTCTACCTGAAGTTGTGAGAATAAATTGTAAGTATGTTCTTATATCTTTTGTTCAAAACTGATGCAATATTTCCATTCACACCCTGGCCAATAAGATTCTAGTTTCATTTTCTTAGGCAATCAATAATGCATTTGAACATACCTGCAGCGAGTAACTTCTTATTCTTAGAAACGGAGAATTTCTCTCCAAGCTAGAAGCACGGATTTTTATCTTGAAAGGAAATTTCTTAGTCGAAGTGGCATATGCTTACGAGTGAATACAGCTCAAGATGCTGATAACATGCTTTCTATATCTGGGAAGTATTTCGAAAGGAAGTTATGAGCTTTTTTTTATTAATAGTGTGCCTCAGGAAGAAAATAACGGCCTGTGAATTTGAACTCGAAACCGTTCAGATGATGACAGAGTAAATGTACGATGCTTAGTATCTAGTTTGACTGAGCCGCAATAATTCTTTATAGAAACTACCGTAATTTTGCAGCTTAGAATGCACGCAAATTGGCATAAGAAAAGCCTACACCTTTTTTTGAGAAGGACGCTAGGCAGTTATAGAAAGTACAACTGAGACCAGCTCTGCGCTCTATCTGCATTTCCAAGATCAATCCCTTGATTGCCTTTAGCCACAAGAGCGATTTATTATAGATTTTATTCTGCATGCATCTGACATGCTCAGCATCCTTTTTTACTGATGCTTCGAAACATTAGTCTGTCGCTTTCGATAATATAACAGCCATTTTTTGATAGTTCAATATAAACTGATTTCCGTACAGTGATAGGAACGGAAATTATGTAGCTCCTTTTTGCTGTTGACTGCATTTTGGGATCTATTATTGACTTGGCTAATGATTTCTATTACACCTTTCCTTTCTTTAAAGATTGTGGGCTCTTAGACCTGAGCTTGCTTCATACTTGAAAGATGGCAGGGTGTTTATCCTCCGACATAATTGATGCCGCAAATACACGCACAACCTGCAAGTTTGCGACAATCTTGTAAAGTACCTAATCTTCCTCCCTTTGGACTTTTGTCTATCTCTCGCATATAGTCTGCTATGATTTCTCAAAATGTACTTTGGCCTGTTTTTCCTATGGCAGCAGTTTTCCGCCTGTTGTATCCCAGAAACGAATGGTAGTGAAAAAATATCAGAACACAGTAATTTCAAAATCCCGTATATGCATCGGTAGAAACTGACACCGAAAGCCTAGAAATAATTATTAGAGTTTTTTTTTAAAAGGTTTTTTGGTCAGAATGCTAATAAGAAAAAAGGTGAAAGAGAAATTATACGCCAACAGACCAGCTAAAAAAGAGAAAGTAGATCTAAACTGTGACTTCTATGTTAGTTATTTCGGATCTAAAAAGCTGAATTTTTTTGTATTACTTTTCATTTCTGCAGCACGCCAGCTGGTAAGTTTTATTTTGTTTTTCTCCTCCGTAAAATATGTGCAAATGGCCCACTACTTCCGTCTTGAAATACTCGTTCCATGAAACTGAGTATCAAAGTTTTAGAATTTCTATATATCGCTTCTCCACTGCTTTATTCTATTAACTTATGACTTCGTGATCTACAAATCATGCCAAGAAAACCTAATCTATGAATCCTTCCCAAAAGTGACAAAGAAAAGTGATCGCATGTTCAGCTGGCTGTGCAGCAAGTGGTGGTTGCCGACAAATGATGAATTTGCGTTGAGTTTCTCTCTTAGACCACGAACGATGTAAAACAACTGTTGGCTCGAAAGTCGTTTCGAAATGTGTGTTCCGATACTTTATCACAGCTGCTACGAGATACGCTAAACAAAGAGCGAACAAAAACAGGAAGCAAAAAATGCTTGCAAAGTGTGAAAATTTTTTCTACACGTCGGTAGTTATCAACTTAGTCTTAATCAACTTAAAGCGAAAGTTATCTATAAAAAATGAGCTGCAACAAGTCTGACATATAGACAGAAGTTTTTCCCACTGCAGACGAAAAAACCTATTTACATCCGAAATTTTTTAGTTCACTTTTTAAAGCGCCCGAATTTAACTACTATGATAGTGCCTCGAAAAATTGAGGAAAAATCAGACAAAAAAGAAGAGGAAGAAAATGGTAATAGTTGATATGTAAATATGAAAATTTTGAGGTATGGAAGCGTAGTGATCTGAAGTTGAAAAAGATCTTCGTTATATAAAATGTGATGAAATTTATGGCCAAAGCTTTTATTATAGGCTTTTCCTACTACTTGCAAGTTGAAATATGATAAAAAAAGAAGTGAACGATTAAAGCAAAAAGTAAGCAAATGGACTTATAGACTGTAATTATAGTTGTTTTGTGTAGGTAATAGAATTGCACACTTTTCTGGAAAAATATCGTATTCAGGCTGAAATAATATGTAAGTTTTGAAATGAAAATAAAATATTGACAAAGTGAAGATAAAATATAATATTTGCTTCGTAAAACGTACAAAGACTTTACATTTTCTATTCCCTTTTGTGCGTTTTGTTGTTGTTGTTTTGTCTTTCTCTAGTTTATATTCCCAGTCATTTTGGTCTGAGACTTTTAGAATATTTCTTATTTCTTTCACTTAAACGTGTATTTGATACGTTACTACAAAACTAAAAATATGGAAAAACCTCAATAGCGCTACAGTTTGGATCAAAAAGGCAGCTACGCCTTTATATTGTTAAACCTATCTCAAACTTGGAAATTGTAATTTTTCGACCTTATTATTATCGATTTTTTTGTTTTCTTTGTGTTATCAGCTGAGAACAAACGAGTCTGAAATCAAAAACGAGCATCAGAAACGTAGTGTGTGAGATTTTTGGGTATGTTATTGTATTTATTTTCAATATTACTAACCTGCCGGATCAATGATCGTTTCCTTCGTCGATGTGAACTTCTTCCTTGAACCAGGCGAAGGAGTAAGAAGCCACATACGCCAATTACAGAAATAATCACTAGACCGATAGTCATATTTCGCAGATCCATAATATAATCTGTCATTCGATGCATATCGTCTGCCACCTAAAGATCAATAATTTCAGAATATTATTCATCTGGAGAAGGCGTCAAACCTGTATCATCTTAGGTATTCCTTTGAAAATCAAGTTCATATCTGGATATTGGTGATGTTCCATCAAATCCTGATTATTCTGGTGGCTCGATGAGCCGCTGCCCATCCTGAATGTCTGGAAAATTGCTTGAAATTTTGTGAAAAAAAAATGCTGCTCACCACTTTCGAACAAGAAATGAGTAGTATGATACAGAAGAGAGCTATTTGAGGTTGTATGGTACCAAACAAGAACAAAGAAGCACATACCAAGATAAAACAAACAAACATGAGAGTGAGAATCAAGTCACAACAACGACGATACCAAGTAAATTACAGACATCTGTATGTGGTCTCTGGTCAACAACAGCAAGTATTACAGCAGATTATTATGTTTGATGATCAAAAAAGGAAGAACGTGAGCTAAAAATAGGTTCACACAGGCAAAAATTTGTATGTTGGCTTAAAAAGCTAAAAAAAGGCAAAAAGAAGTTGGATCTGACTAGATATTCGAGAGTTTCACGCCAAAAAAATCTACTAGCTTTGTAGACTGATTTGCCTATATTCCATTCGCAACAATTCAACTTAATATATAGCTTTTGTAAAATGCAATGTTTTTTTTTCAACGAAAAATTTTATTGAACTTGGGAACAATGTGCGACAAATCAACAAATTTGATGTTTATGTGAAAGTACAGCGTTGCAATGCTCAAGAATCGACTTTATTTCAATGGTTCGTGAAAGTGCGTTCATTCTAAAATTTTAGATGGCCTATTGTACTAAATAGAAACATTTAACAAAAAACCTGAGTTTTTCAAACAATATGAATAAGCAGAGAGGTGGATTACTGAAAAATGCATCATAATTATTAGGTTGTCCCATAAGTATTTTCATATTCGGACCTTCAATTCGATATTTCTCAAGAACTAGAGCACCTAGAAGGCTGCAAATTTGTGGCAGCAATTCTGAGTTAATAAGCTATATAAACACCTATTTGCGGGGAACACAGAACTGATACAGGCAGAGTTTGAAATTTGAGAGCACTATTTTTTTCTCGGTTTCTAGCCGTCAGAAAAATGCAGCAATGGCATATATAAATATCCGATGAGGAGAGTATATCCATGAGAAAGTAGGAAATTTGCAGAGTTGTTTTGAACTGAGATATGATGATTTTCGTGTTTTCGCAAAATTGGAAATTTTTCTATTTTGGCTCGGAACTTGTTGCGGATTGAACTTACTGCGAATTTTGAACGCCATCTTGTAGAGCTTGCTTTGATCTGTCGAACAGTATCTTGCATTTTATTAGGAATTCAAGAAAAATTGATTTATGTCGCTGAAAAGCCAGGTATGAAAAGACTTATGGGACAACCTAATATATTGATAAAACTTGCAATTTATCGATGCTTTCACTCATACTTCTCTTTCAAAAATACTGGAGGTGGGCGATAGTCGAAAATCTTCGAACTTGTATATCGTAAAAGCTCAAAAGTTTCAAAGTTCTTTTCTTTCACTGAATATTTATTCCTCGTGGGGCAAAGTCACTTCACTGAGCTGAGACTCTTCGCGTTCAGTGGTTCAACTCCAGTCAATTTATCAAGATTAGCAAAACAATGACATATGGAGCGGAAGAAGCAGATCAAAGTTTAATCATATTTATGCTGGCTTTAGCTATCATATAGGTATTATTTGGTTATTATTACTTAGATAACACTTGGTGATTCTTACAGATTTTTTTTTCAAATAAACTCCAAATAAACTGATGTCACTTACAGAAAACAATTTCTCTGTCAACTCTAGGAGAACTAGATACTAGACCCTACTTTCCTACCAGAACCCCTTGGTATAAGATTTCTATTTTAGACCTATAATAAATTTGAAGAGTAATTTGTGGATCTTCAAGATTTTTGATTGTATCAGCTGAACATTTCGCAATTTAACTGAGAGTTAAAAATTTCTGAAATCGCAATTGAAAACCTCTAAAAGTCTTCTCAACTTTGAACTTTTTTTGGAATTTTTTTGGAAACTGGATATGAGCTTCTAAAGAAACTGAAATAACCAAGAGATTTTGCCGGTCTAACGTAGCCCCAAGCAAACTGAAAGTTCAAAGATCACTTCTTTTGCGGATGTGAAACTATTTGTATAGTTAAGTACGTTTGATCGCCAATGTGTGCAATCGCAGAACATGTGCGCCATTATTCAAAGAAGTCAAGCCGCAGGCGGAGAGCGGTGGGCTGTGTGAATTTCGAGATCACTGATTGACGTCAGCAGTTTCGACTCATATATTACTGGTAGTTTTAAAAGTTTTGTATAGATTGAGTTCCAAGAACAGCCATGGTTGAATCGAGTTACGGTAGCAGTACT